TGAAGCCAAAATCTTCAATACCTTCTCCTTCCAAGAGCTGCCTTCCAAATGACAAACCATCCCCCTTTTCTCTTCCTTTTCGCTCTAATTTATACCTCTCTCACTTAAGGATGAAGCCCTAGCAAGCCAAAACGCGTCGTTTCATTTTTCAGCTAATGCAGGTTTTGCCGCGGCGAATATTTTCTTTGCCGTGGCGAGGACTTTCGGGCCAAATTTGAGCATGATAGAGTATGAATCTGAAAAGGGTTAAACATATAAATTGTATACCTTTCAATTATATTCTACTGGTTCAATAATCAGAACAATCCAGGTCTAAGCTCAAGTTATGGTAAAATACTAAAGCACGTCCAAAGACGTTTTTTCTTCAGCCCCAGCATACGTTTCATGACTTCAAGCCAAGTTTTCACCCTTGTCCAGTCAGAATTAGGAAAAACCTAAAACATCAAAGTTGTAGCTCTTCTTCTTAGCTTTCTAAATCTTCTAATCAGGTCATTCCGAGTTTTCAAGCTTAAGTTACACAATTTACGCTAAAAACTGTCATTTATGCTCAAAATCATCGTTAGGCCTGCAAAGACAAATTAATAAAATTAGGTACAATTATGCTCAAATTGTATGAAAAGTATCCTAAATCCTATCAAAATTCAATGCAAAATCATAGTGTAAAATATGATTTCAGTTTACGGTGGCGGCGCGGCGGTAGGGGTGGGGGTGATTTTGTCATAAATTAAAGTTTATATAAGCGGAGGTGTCTTAGCTAAATCTGAAATATTGGGGGTTAAAAAAATTATTCAAAAATTAATAATAAAATAATATTATATTAATTTTTAAAAAGAGGCAATTTAGTAATTTAAATAGCATACCCACCAATTTTTCCCTCTAGCCAAACATATTAATATAACATACCCACAAACTAACCAAACATATTTTCCTAAAGATTCCCAGTAATCTTCAAGATAATATAAATTCCAGAATCCAACATTCCCTGAACCAAACGCACCCTTAATGTGTATCTTTAAAGCCCAAGTTAAGACCACCGACATAATATAAAAAAAATATATATTTTTTGTTATTCATGTATCAATTTTTGTCCGTTAATGATTTAATACATGCTCAAAAGACACACATCAAGATGTCTTGTTGTGTGTGATTTTTCATCAAGCTCAGAGAATTGTGAGGTTATGCCTGATCCAAGACCAGTTCAACTCTACCAATTAGGGGTGTTCAGAGAACTTGTTGGAACTGGAACCGGCGGGTACCCGGGGTTTGATTCCGGTCCTACCAGAACCGACCGTCAACGGGTAGGTTTCGGTTCCAAATTTTTGGACCCTTACTGTGCGGGTTTCAGTTCCGGTCCCGGTTCCTATAGTTTGGAACTAGAACCGAACCAGGAACTAGGAACCAGGAGCTGAGAGTAATATAAATAAAATTAAAGATTAGGAGGTAATAAAAACTTTTGTAGGAAAGTAATGTGAAACATTTATATTTAATTTCATAACATTTAAAGTAAGTTGGTTTGACTTTTGAGAATATACCTTTCACAAATAATGGAGTTTATAATTTGAATTATAATTTGTAATTTTATTTTGTTAACAAGTGCCCGATGGGGGGTATTTGTAAGTTTTTAAGGTTTTTTTTGTCATTTTATAAACTTTGGGGGGTCATGTAATTTTAAAGATACCCAGAACCGGAACCAGAACCGTTGTTACAGGTCTAGTTCTAGGTACCTAGGAACCGAACCATTAGTTCCAATTTTGGTTCCAAATTTCAAGGTTGTCGGTTCTAGTTCCTTCAAAAAATGCAGGGTACCCGGAACCGAATACCTTACTACCGATTGTCCAACCAGCTATGATGTACAACTAGTACAGCTAGTCGGACCAATCCTATAGTTGTCCAACCAATCATGATAACTTCAGATCCTGAGATATCTCGGAAAGGATCAGATTGACAACCATCTTTGCACAATCACAGTGCCTAATCGCAAGAATATCGGTTGCATTTCAAACTTAATTATAATTCCTGTATTTTCGCTCTTTCCTTTTTACAAATCGTAATAAACCCCCTTCAACGTTAGAAAAGGGTTAGCAAATATTTCTAGGACTGTCATTGTAAGCTCTCAAAGCAAATACAAAAACAGTAAATGTAGGCTCAAGAGCTCAACTTGCCGAATAACTTTAAAAACCTCTTTGTCATTTCTTTACTGTATTTATTATTTATTCACTATTAGTTACCTTAATCATGCCACGTCATTTTGATCCTGTCAAAGTCAATCGAAGCACTCTAGTTCGTGTATTTTTGCATTAACACTATTATTTTATTTTATTAAATTAATAAATAATTTTAAGTATTAATTTTTTTAAGTAAAGTTAGATGCTTACTTGCTGGTAAAGTGACATGTTAGTTGACAGTTGAAAAGAAGACGAAAGAAAGCCTGTTTAGCCCCTTGTGATGCTGAGTGGACTTTGAGTGGCGCATGCTACCAACTGTTAGTGACTTTGAGTGGGCGCATGCTAAGCCAACTGTTAGTGGCTTTGATTCATTTTGTCGATTTCATTAATTATTAAAATTTAAAATATCTTCTAATATTATTAAAAAGCAATTTCAAGGGATTAATAATTTACAAGCTCCTTTATTTTATGTAATTATGAGTAAACTTTTAATTATAAATTAATTCATTTTTTATAAAATAAAAATTGAGTATATTTACAAATTAATAGTCATTCCTGTGCTTTTTTTTTCTTTTTTTGTTTACAACAATTGAAGTATTCATCATTGTTTCGTTTTTGTTTTGTTTCAACTTCTATTATTCTTTCCGTAAGAGTTAAGATGAGAATATTTAAAAAAAAATTAAAAGATATACTGAGATTTTCTAATTAAATCTTAGATTGTATTATAATATTAAATTGAAAACTTATGATATAATTATATTATTGATGTATTTATTTTCATCAACTTATATTGTCAAAGCATTTTATTTAATTTAGAAATTAAATTTTATAAAAGCAATATTTTTTATTCATCAACATACTCATCATAAGTGTCTTACTTTAAAAGACTTTAATGAAAATCAAATTCTTTATCATCAATATTGATACAAATTAAAATAGTAGTTTCTCCACTCCATTATGAAATAATTTCATTACCAAAGCTTTGTCAAAATCATCTCATTTCCAACTTATCTTTTAATTAACTCAGTGAGAATCTATCAATGAAACAACCAAAGAGATCAAAATTGAAATTTCTTTCACCATATTATTTAATTATCTGAAAATATATATTAAAAAGGAACTAATTAATATATAATTCTATTGTACAATGAAGCCAAAGAAGAAAAATAGGAAAAAAAATCGAGTCTTTCATATCTCGATACAAAGACTTGAATAGTGCATCTGTGTTCAATGATGTTACGATGTAAATGTATCGGTGAATTCTAGAGACGATGATGGTACTAGAGTTGATAACGCTAGGAAATGATAATTTAGATGGGCATCACAATACTGCCACAAATTTTAGACGTGACAATGTTCAATAATATTATACCTTTTACACACACACACACACACACACCATACACACATATATAGCTCTTTGAGATATAGCTTGACCCTGATGCTTTGTGATCATCACCCGACCGTTATGGGAATCGGATGGATGCTTTGTGATCATCATCCGAATAGCCTTAGAGAGATGGGTCGATGCTTTGTGATCATCATCCAATGGCTAGAAGGAACGGGTTGATGCTTTGTGATCATCACCCGATAGTGACTAGAGATGGGTAAATGCTTGGTGATCATTACCCAAAATTCATGAGAAACGGGTAGGTGCTAGGTGATCTCCACCCGATAGTTAGGAGGAACCGAGTTGGTGCTTTGTGATCCTCACTCGGTAGTCACTAAGATAGGGTTGGTACTGTGTGAATTCCACCCGATAGCCATAGAGAGTGGAATGGTGCTGTGTGAACGCCATTCGGCCGTACCTCCGGTAAGATGAGGTCATGATGTTTTTAGAAACAGAAATAGAAACAGAATTAGAAAAGGAAAGAATTGAGAATCACACACGGGGACAGACAGTTAGAGAGTTTTACTTACTGAGCATTATTTGTGCTCACCCCGTTATTTTCCTTTGTGGATGCAGGTTCTAGGTGATGTTTCGGTTGGAGGGGCGTCGGCGCGCGAGGAGCAATAGCTACACTGTTCCCCTATTTTGTCTTTTGAAATGCACTTTTGTAAACAGTAACTTTTGTGTATAAAAGACATGTGAATTGTAATAAAAAGAAACTTTTGGGCCCAATTTTCCATTGTTAATTGCATGCATTATACTAGTTTTCAGAAGGTGTTACAACTGATTTATGGCCTCTCAAGTAAACATCAACCTCCAGAATTTAGCAACACTAATGATCCAATAGTAACAGAACAATGGATCAAGTTAGTGGAGAAAGCTACTGCTCTATTTCCTATGATAGATCAAGAAAAGATCCGATATGCCACGTACCTATTGAGAGAAGATGTTATGACATGGTGGGAGCTTATAGAACAGACTCTAGATACCACCACTCTCACTTTGTCAGCATTCAAGGAATTATTTAAGGAGTAGTGCCGGATAGCGGACATGATATCCTCTAAACTACAAGAGTTTATTAGTCTGCAACAAGGAAATATGACGGTCAAAGAGTATTCAATCAAGTTCAACTCCTTGGCTAACTTTGCACCGACACTGGTCAATACACCACAGACTCGATAGGAGAGATTTGTGGGTGGACTTCATCCTACTATCATCAGAGATGTTATGTCAGGTCATTAACCTTCCCAAACATATAGTGAAGCACTCTCCAGAGCCATCAGAGCATAGGTGTACTTAAGAAAGGAGACTAGATTAGCTCTTCCCCTAACAGTGGCAAGTAGTCCTCTCCAGCTTAGCCAATCAATAGTGCAGAACAAGTTGTTGGCAAAGACGATAAGGGTAAAGGCAAGAAAGGAGTCCTACCTAAAGCCAACAGGAAGGACATGAAGAAAAAGGGCCAGCAGAGGAAAGGTGAGGTCAGTTACTGTAAGAAATGTCAGAGAAGACACAGCGGTGAATGTCTAGTGGGGTCCAATGTTTGTTTCAGATGCCGTCATCCAAGTCATATTGCTAGAGATTGCCCCATTGGTTCTACAACTTCAGTACCTGCAGTTGGAGGCACAATAGCCAGGGTATATAATGTGGCCCAAATGCAGGCAGATGCTAGCCCTTCAGCAGTCACTGGTCAGTTATTATTCCATGATACTCCCTTCTATGCCTTGATTGACTCTGATGCTACTCATTCATTCATCTCCTATGGTATGATTAAGAGATTAGGGTTAATGCCTATTAGAATAGAACAAGCCATTAGGATTGAATTGCCTGATGGTGAGGGTGTAGTGACTAATGAAGTCTTAATGGGGGAGTTAGTGACTATTAGAGGCCGAGATATGATGGTAGATTTGATTGTCTTCAATATGCCAGACTTTGACATCATTCTTGGGATGGACTTTCTTAGTAGATATGGAGTAGAGATAGACTATCGTAGGAAAAAAGTCAAGTTTAATCTAGACAATGGGGATAACTTCATTTTTAGAGAAGGGCACCCAACTAGCATGATGATTAGTGTAGCAAAGCTAGGAAGATGTTGAAAAAGGGGTGTTATGGGTACATTGCACATGTAGTAAATAAGGGAGAGAGTTCAAGCTCAAGTGTACATGAGGTGCCTATGGTAAATGAATTTATTGATGTGTTTCCAGATAAATTGCCAGGTTTACCTCCAGAGAGGGAAGTGGAGTTTAGTATAGAACTAGCCCCCGGTATAGCCCCTATTTCAAACGTTTTTCATCGCATGACCCCAGCTGAGCTCCAAGAATTGAAGAAGCAATTACAAGAGTTGTTAGACAAGGGCTTTATCAGGCCGAGTCATTCCCCATGGGGTGCTCCAATTCTATTTGTGAAAAAGAAGGATGGGTCTATTAGGATGTGTATAGATTACCGTGAACTAAATAAAGTAACGGTAAAGAATAAGTACCCATTGCCCAAGATAGATGATTTGTTTGACTAATTGAAAGGTGCCTCAGTGTTTTCTAAAATTGATCTACAGTCAGGATACCATCAGGTTAGAGTGGCTAAGGAAGATATACCAAAAACGGCTTTCCGAACAAGGTATGGGCATTTGAATTTGTTGTGATTCCATTCAGATTGACTAATGCACCTGTAATTTTTATGGACTTGATGAACATAGTTTTTCATGATGTCCTTGACAAGTTCATAGTGGTATTTATTGATGATATCCTAGTTTATTCCAAGGCTTTAGAAGAACATGTCGAGCACTTGAGATTTGTGTTACAAAGATTAAGAGAGAAACAACTGTATGCCAAATTTTCAAAATGTGAGTTTTGGTTGGATCGGGTTATCTTTTTGGGTCATGTGATCTCTAAAGACGGTGTATCAGTGGATCCAAGTAAAGTAGTGGCGGTGCTCGAGTGGCAGAGGCCAAAGACAGTGAAAGAGGTTAGAAGTTTTCTAGGCTTAACAGGGTATTATAGGAAGTTTGTGGAAGGCTTTGCAAAGATAGCTAGACCACTTATAGCTCTTGCCAAGAATGAAGTACCATTTCAATGGATAGAGGCATGTGAGCAAAGCTTTCAAGAGTTGAAGAAAAGATTAACTACATCTCTAATTCTTACATTGCCAGAAGTAGGCATTGGTTATGATATTTATGTTGATGCCTCCCACAATGGTTTGGGAGCAGTGTTGATACAGCAAGGGAAAGTCATTGCTTATGCCTCCAAACAACTAAAAGACTATGAGAGCAGATATCCTACCCATGACTTGGAATTAGCAGCAGTGGTTTTTGCTTTGAAGATATGGCGACACTACTTGTATGGAGTGAAATGCAACACATACATTGACCATAAGAGTTTGAAGTATTTCTTCACTCAGAAAGAGTTGAATATGAGACAGAGGAGATGGTTGGAATTGGTGACAGACTATGACTGCGACATCAGAAACCATCCAGGGAAAGCTAATGTAGTAGCAGATGCCCTTAGTAGAAAAGTCTCTTTATCTCAGATTACTGTACAGGGACAATTACAGCAGGAGATCCTCTAAGAAGGAATTAAAACCGTGATCAAGGGAGGATTAGCCCAAATGGAGATCAAACCCACTTTGGTCATCAATTCTTATTAACAATTAACCAATAGGTCAACTTATGGATCAAATAAACCTCCCCTTAATAGTCTTTAACATCTTAAAGGAAGTGTAAAATCTCATTCCCATAATCATCCATTATTGTTATAACATTGTAAGCTAATGCAAACAACACCTCAACACTTCTAATAGCAACCATTCAACACCACGTGGCCTCTAATACTACAAGTTTTCCCACAATCAGCATCCACAACTTCATTTTCTTCAATCAAACATAACAACTCATAAAGCATAAACAACAATAACTTCATGTATAATGAATTCAAGGCAATAAGTAGAATAAATGAGTTCAACTACACTTGCCATCAACTAATTCTATGCCTTAAAGCCTTAATTTAAGGTTTCATAAAAAATCACCAAACCCTGGCATAAACCCTAAAGTCATGGGAGGTGCTTCCTCACCTTTTTAAAGAATTCCTCCAACAAATCCTTTGTCTTTGTCTGCTTTTACACCTTAATCCTACATATATAACATTATACCTCAACATCTACTTCAAATCTTCAAATCACATCAAAACTAAAGTTTTTAATCCTTACCTTAAACCCTTAAAATTGAAGATTCAAGGCTCCTATCTTGTTCTCCTTGAAAAAATAAGCAAAACTCCTTTAAAACTTAGAGAAAGAAAGCTTGTTTCATAGAAGATTTGAGAGAAAATGGAAGAAATGTTGAAGAAATGCTCCCTCCCTTGGCTTGAACGTATTTCATCTCATTTATAGGAAAATATTTCATTTATTTTCCAAAATTTTGCTATTGGCCCAATTATTTTAATTGTATAACTCATAAGTCCTTAATTTTTCATATAAGGGCATTTTGGTCATTTCACACTGGACATAATTATTACTTAATTAATGCCATTAAATGCAATGAAGTCTACTCATCCTTGACTTTTTCAATGCTTATCCATAGGCAAAATGCCCATTTCACCCCTAATGCCTTTCTATGGATAATTGATTCATACCGTTCCAAATGAATTGACTATTTTACCCTTAGTTAGATTTTATGCTTTTTTTTAACATAAAATTGAGATCTAAAGGACTATTTTGAGTTAAGAACATACCTTTGACATCTTGGGTATTACATTTCCTACCCCTTACAATAATTTCGTCCTCAAAATTATAGAAGCAACTCCAAACATTTTATATGCATGTTTCAAATATTATTATTATTATTATTATTATCCTTGCACAGGTTTTTTTTTTTTTTTTTTTTTAAAAATACAACTCGTTCTCCAAACATGTATCCCCGGGATTCTCATTGAGGGATATTCAAAGGATACCTGATTGGAAGGGGGTTTTACATTTGGTATCAGAGCAAGTATTTTGGTACTTTAAAAAGGGGTGTTTTAACATGGTTTCTATTTCGGAGTCAGACATTTATGAGAGTCGATGACAGTATCCCTCATGTAAAGTTCTGCTACTCAAGTTGTCCAATCGTTGTTAGTATGTTTACCTGATTTTATGTAAGGATTGATTAGATGATTAACGTTCTATGTGTGACTGTGATAGGGAATAAATATGAGGAAAACCAGGAGAATAGATGCAGGTCGCAGTGATGCTTCGAATGCACAAAATGTTCCAACTGCACCTGAAGCTCCTAACCCAGCAACTGCTACTTCAAGCGCTTCGGGTTTAGATGTTGCAACATTGGAGTGTATGATCTAGGAGGCTGTTAATAGAGCTTTAAGGAGAACCCTACCGGAAAGCACAAGTACTCCGGTGATAACAGTGACAACCAATGTGGTACCAAGTCAGGCAATAAGGACGAGTACTCTAGATGCAATGGTTGTTCCAAAGCAGACTGAATCGATTTCTGGCCTCTCAAGTAAACATCAACCTCCAGAATTTAGCAGCACTAATGATCCAGTAGTAGCAGAACAATGGATCAAGTTGGCGGAGAAAACTACTGCTCTATTTCCTATGACAGATCAAGAGAAGATCCGATATGCTACGTACCTATTGAAAGAATATGCTATGACATGGTGGGAGCTTATGGAGCAGATTCAAGATACCACCACTCTCACTTTGTCAAGGTTCAAGGAATTGTTTGAGGAGCAGTATCAGACAGCGGACATGATATCCTCTAAACTATAAGAGTTTATTAGTCTGCAACAAGGAAATATGATGGTCAAACAGTATTCAATCAAGTTCAACTCCTTGGCTAAGTTTGCACCGACACTAGTCAGTACCCCATAGGCCGGATTGGAGAGATTTATGGGTGAACTTCATCTTACTATCACCGGAGATGTTATGTTAGGTCATCAGCCTTCCCAAACATAGAGTGAAACACTCTCTAGAGCCATCAAAGTAGAGGTGTACTTAAGGAAGGAGACCAGATTAGCTGTTCCCCCAATAGTGGCAAGTAATCCTCTCTAGCTTGGCCAATCCAGTAGTGTAGAACAAGTTGTTGGCAAAGACGATAAGGGTAAAAGCAAGAAAGGAGTCCTACCTAAAGCCAACAAGAAGGACATGAAGAAAAAGGGCCAGTAGAGGAAAGGTGAGATCAGTTACTATAAGAAATATCAGAAAAGACACTAGGGTGAATGTCTAGTAGGGACCAATGTTTGTTTCAGATGCTGCCAGCTAGGTCATATTGCTAGAGATTACCCCATTGGTTCTACAACTTTAGTACCTACAGTTGGAGGCATGATAGCCAGGGTATATAATGTGGCCCAAATGCAGGCAGATACCAGCCCTTCAGTAGTCACTGGTCGGTTATTATTCCATGATACTCCCTTGTATGCCTTGATTGATTCTGGTGCTACTTATTCATTCATCTCCTATGGTATGATTAAGAGATTAGGGTTAATGCTTATTAGAGTAGAACAAGCCATTAGGATTGAATTGCTTGATGGTGAGGGCGTAGTGGCCAATGAAGTCTTAATGGGGGAGTTAGTTACTATTAGAGGCCGAGATATGATGGTAGATTTGATTGTCTTCAATATGCCAGACTTTGACATCATTCTTGGGGTTGACTTTCTTAGTAGATATGGAGTAGAGATAGACTATCATAGGACAAAAAGTAAAGTTTAATCTAGACCATGGGGATAACTTCATTTTTGGAGAAGGGCACCCAACTAGCATGATGATTAGTGTAGCAAAAGCTAGGAAGATGATGAAAAGGGGTGTTCTGGGTACATTGCACATGTAGTAAATAAGAAAGAGAGTTCAAGCTCAAGTGCACATGAGGTACTTATGGTAAATGAATTTATTGATGTGTTTCCAGATGAATTGCCAGGTTTACCTCCAGAGAGGGAAGTGGAGTTTAGTATAGAACTAGCCCCCGGTATAGCCCCTATTTCAAAGGCTCCTTATTGCAGGGCCCTAGCTGAGCTCCAAGAATTGAAGAAGCAGTTACAAGAGTTGTTAGACAAGGGCTTTATCAGGCCGAGTCATTCCCTATGGGTTGCTCCAATTCTATTTGTGAAAAAGAAAGATGGGTCTATGAGGATGTGTATAGATTACCGTGAACTGAATAAAGTAACGGTAAAGAATAAGTACCCATTGCCTAGGATAGATGATTTGTTTGACCAATTGAAAGGTGCCTCAATGTTTTCTAAAATTGATCTACGGTCAGGATACCATCAGGTTGGAGTGGCTAAGGAAGATATACCAAAAACGGCTTTCCGAACAAGGTATGGCCATTATGAATTTGTTGTGATGCCATTCAGATTGACTAATGCACCTGTAATTTTTATGGACTTGATGAACAGAGTTTTTCAAGATGTCCTTGACAAGTTCATAGTGGTGTTTATTGATGATATCCTAGTTTATTCCAAGACTTTAAAAGAACATGCCGAGAACTTGAGATTTGTGTTCAAAGATTAAGAGAGAAACAACTGTATGCCAAATTTTCAAAATGTGAGTTTTGGTTGGATCGGGTTACCTTTTTGGGTCATGTGATCTCTAAAGATGGTGTATTAGTGGATTCAAGTAAAGTAGAGGCAGTGCTCGAGTGGCAGAGGCCAAAGATAGTGAAAAAGGTTAGAAGTTTTTTGGGCTTCGCAGGGTATTATAGGAAGTTCATGGAAGGCTTTGCAAAGATAGCCAGACCACTTACAACTCCTACCATGAAAGAAATACCATTTCAATGGACAGAGGCATGCGAGCAAAGCTTTCAGGAGTTGAAGAAAAGATTAACTACAGCTCCAATTCTTATATTGCCAGAAGTAGGCATTGATTATAATATTTACGTTGATGCCTCCCACAATGGTTTGGGAGCAGTGTTGATGCAACAAGGGGAAGTCATTGTTTATGCCTCTAGACAACTGAAAGACTATAAGTGCAGATATCCTACCCATGACTTAGAATTAGCATAGGTTTTTGCTTTGAAGATATGGCGACACTACTTGTATGGAGTGAAATGCAACCTATACACTGACCATAAGAGTTTGAAGTATTTCTTCACTCAGAAAGAGTTGAATATGAGACAGAGGAGATGGTTAGAATTGGTGACAGACTATGACTGTGACATCAGATACCATCCAGGGAAAGCTAATGCAGTAGCAGATGCCCTTAGTAGAAAAGTCTCTTTATCTCAAATTACTGTACAGGGACAATTACAGCAGGAGATCCTCCAAGAAGGAATTGAAATTGTGATCAAAGGAGGATTGGCCCAAATGGAGATCAAACCCACTTTGGTGGAGGAGATCAAGATGAAACAGGGTAAAGATGATACCTGCAAGATAATCTGCCAACGGATAATAGAAGGTAAAGAGACAGACTTTAAAATAGTCAATGGGGCACTGATGTTTAGAGATAGAATATGTGTACCTCAAGATGATGAACTAAGGAATAAAATCCTTAGTGAGGCACACAATACACTTTATACAGCCCACCCTGGGAGTGTAAAGATGTATCAAGATGTGAAGAAAAGTTATTGGTGGTCAGGTATGAAAAACGACATTGCCGATTATGTTGCCAGATGTTTAACATGTCAACAAGTAAAGGCAGAGCATCAGAGACCATCAGGATTACTCCAACCCTTAGAGATTCCTAAATGGAAATGGGAGGATATCTCAATGGACTTCATTGTGGGACTTCCTAAAGTTCAGCAAGGATATAATGCAATCTGGGTGGTGGTTGATAGATTGACCAAGACAGCTCATTTTCTACCTATGACGGATAAGATAGATGCATTTCGATTGGGGCAATTATATGTCAAAGAGATTGTGAGATTACATGGAGTACCCAAGACGATTGTATCAGATAGAGATACCAGGTTCATATCAGCTTTCTGGGTTGGAATGCAGAGAGCATTGGGTACAAAGTTAGCCTTCAGTACGGCTTATCATCCTCAAACTGATGGTCAAACTGAAAGGACCAACCAGGTGATTGAAGACATGCTGAGAGCTTGTTGTATGGATCACAAGGCAAAATGGAATGATGTACTTCCACTAATAGAATTTGCCTATAACAACAGCTACCAATCCACTATCCAGATGGCCCCATATGAAGCATTATATGGAAGAAGGTGCAGATCCCCTTTGTATTGGGATGATATTGGAGAAAAAGACTCCTTGATTCAAGCAGTTGGACCAGAGATGACCCAGAAAATGATTGAAGATGTTAAGCTTATTAGAGAAAGAATGAAGCAAGCTCAAGATCGACAAAAGAGCTATGCCGACCTAAAAAGAAAAGAAGTGGAATTCCAAGTGGGCGACAAAGTTTTTGTAAAAGTTGCGCCCTATAAACATATTTTGAGATTTGGAAAGAAAGGCAAGCTCGCTCCACGTTACATTGGACCCTTTGAAGTATTGGAAAGGGTAGGCAAAGTAGCTTATAGACTTGCGCTGCCAATGAGCATGGAAAGAGTCCATAATGTTTTCCATGTCTCTTTGTTGCGTAAGTATGTTAGTGATCCTTCACATGTGCTTCAGATGGAGGAAGTGGAATTACAGGATAATTTGGCTTATGAGGAACGCCCAGTTCAAATCCTTGACAGAAAGGTAAAAGAGCTCAGAAACAAGCAAATTCCACTAGTTAAAATGCTTTGGAGGAATCACAAGATAGAAGAAGCTACTTGGGAAATGGAGAAAGATATGAGAAGTCAATACTCGGAGTTGTTTCTATAATTTCAAGGACGAAATTATTGTAAGGGGTAGGAAATGTAATACCCAAGATGTCAAAGGTATGTTCCTAACTCAAAATAGTCCTTTAGATGTTAATTTTATGTTAAAAAAGGCATAAAATCTAACTAAGGGCAAAATAGTCGATTCATTTGGAACGGTATGAATCAATTATCCATAGAAAGCCATTAGGGGTGAAATGGTCATTTTGCCTATTGATAGGCATTGAAAAAGTCAAGGATGAGTAGACTCGTTGCATTTAATGGCATTAATTAAGTAATAATTATGTCTAGTGTGAAATGACCAAAATGCCCTTATATGAAGAATTAAGGACTTATGAGTTATACAATTAAAACAATTAGGCCAATAGCAAAATTTTTGAAAATAAATGAAATATTTTCCTATAAATGAGATGAAATTCGTTCAAGCCAAGGGAGAGAGCATTTCTTCAACATTTATTCCATTTTCTCTCAAATCTTCCATGAAACAAGCTTTCTTTCTCTAAGTTTTAAAGGAGTTTTGCTTTGTTCAGTTCACGGTAATCTATACACATCCTCATATACCCATCCTTCTTTTTCACAAATAGAATTGGAGCACCCCATAGGGAATGACTCGGCCTAATAAAGCCTTTGTCTAACAATTCTTGTAACTGCTTCCTCAATTCTTGGAGCTCAGCTGGGGCCATGCGATAAGGAGCGTTTGAAATAGGGGCTATGCCGGGGGCTTGTTCTATACTAAACTCCACTTCCCTCTCTGGAGGTAAACCTGGCAATTCATCTGGAAACATAAAACTAGAGAAAGAAAGCTTGTTTCATGGAAGATTTGAGAGAAAATGGAAGAAATGTTGAAGAAATGCTCTCTCCTTTGGCTTGAACGAATTTCATCTCATTTATAGGAAAATATTTCATTTATTTTCCAAAATTTTGCTATTGGCCCAAATATTTTAATTGTATAACTCATAAGTCCTTAATTCTTCATATAAGGGCATTTTGGTCATTTCACACTAGACATAATTATTACTTAATTAATGCCATTAAATGCAATGAAGCCTACTCATCCTTGACTTTTTCAATGCTTATCCATAGGCAAAATGACCATTTCACCCCTAATGCCTTTCTATGGATAATTGATTCATACCGTTCCAAATGAATTGACTATTTTGCCCTTAGTTAGATTTTATGCTTTTTAACATAAAATTAACATCTAAATGACTATTTCGAGTTAGGAACATTGACATCTTGGGTATTACAAACAAACAAACAAAAAACCTTAAAAACATCCAAACATGCAAAAGGCACAAAAGCTTCAAATTCACAATTTACTTGTTACCTTAGTCCTTTAAAACTTAGTTGTGCACTAATATAAGAAAAAACAAAGAACATTCATTACACACTCTAGCATATAGACATACAATGAGATCAGTACGTGACGTTGTTAACCGGGAGGTCAACCCTTAACCTTATAGGCCTCTACACATACAGAGTACTCTTTCCCGCCAATAGCAATGCACCAATAGTTTTCCAGCCGATATACCATACCTCATTAACAAAATATAGTGTCAAACATCACAAATGAAAAACAAACCCGAAACCAAACAAACAAATGAATGACACCCAGGTTTCAACTCTGTTATAAACAAACCCTAAACCAAACAAAAAACCTTAAAAACAACCAAACATGCAAATAAGAAAAACCAAAAACTTATTAGTGCATTGAAATAAGAACAAATAAAAAAACCAAGAACAAGCTTTTGGTTAACCCTTCAATTTTCGTTTTTCAGTCGTTGTCGACGATTTATATCGTTAATAGTCGTCCTCCATTGTTAATAACACTTGCTTTAGTTCAGTCATCCTCCACCGTCGTTGTTACCTCACGACCCTAAACCAAACAAACAAACAAAAAACTTGAAAAACAACTAAACATGCAAGTAAGAAAAACCAAGAACAAATAAGAAAAACCAAAAACTTAGAAGTGCACTAAAATAAGAAAAAACAAAAGAACAAATAAGAAAACCAAGAAGAAACTTTCGGTTAACCCTTTAATTTTCATTGTTCAGTCATTGTTGACAATTTATACCGTTAATAACGCCGACTTTAGTTCAGTCGTCTTCCACCGTCGTCGTACCCCTTGATTCTCTCCCTTAGATGTCGTCTATCGTCTTCGTTTAGGATTCGTTGCCGTTCAGTGAACTCACTCTACCACTGTCATAGGTTTTAACTCCTCCTCCACTGTCACTGGTTTTCGTTTCATTGGTCAGCGTCGATGGTCTCCAAACGATGGTAGCAGCTTCATTCAAAAACTCCTTCAGAGAGTCAGAGACAAACAAGAAGGAAACAAAGAGGCAAAACTTTTGGTTTATTTTGTTTTTTGCAAAGTCAACCTAATAGGACACGTGTCGATCTCTAATGCAAAAGCTTCCAAAAGAAGTTTCGCTCCATAAATCAAGGTGATAATTTAAAAGTTAAAAGTTTGATGGTTGTACAAATTACTGTACTGTCTATTATGAAACGAAAATCACTAACAGTACAAGACAGAAAGTACATGTTTGTCGTTTTTAAACCTTTTGGATACTAATTTATCGTTACGAAAAACCTTGGGTACTTGTAAGTTGCTTGGCCTTACTATTATCCCTCAAGGTATAGTTGAAATACAAACAGACACAAATGTTGAAACGTTACAAAAAAAAATTCTCAGTCGTTAATGAATTTATTCTTTCATAATTACCTACCCAAACGCCAATCTACCATCTTCTCCCTTTACATTGCAATGATATTATGCTGCATCTGCATGATCCGTTGTCACTTATGCTTCAGTAATACAAAACCGTTTAAACTTTGAAATTTTGGCCAAACCCCTCAATTTTGATTTTTTGTCGATTACCCATTTCATTAATACCAATGCAATTGGACCAGCCGCATGACATAGGCGGTGACAACAGTAACAGCATCACCTGGCAGCCAGCTTGTGCTCTTTCTTCTACCTTCTTATTTCCTTCTTCCTACGAAACGAGTCCACGTTGGTACACAACATTTAACGTTAAAGTTTCTAATTTCTAGTTCATCAGCATTGTGTGAATCCTGGATTCTTTTTGTGGATGACACTACTCTATGTGCAACAAAACAAAGCTCAACTCAAATAGGTGTCATCGCCTTCCAGAAGCTGACAAGATTAGTTTGTTCAACTTTCCCTTCACTTTCTCTTCAACTTTGGTGGGGTTAGGTAACAAAAAAAAAACTTTATAGACCCAGTCTTATTATTTTCTCTTTTTTGTTGCAAATCTCGTGTGGGTTCTGGTAGTTGCTGATATTGATACGAGAATTGCAAAAACCATGTGGTAAAATNTCTAGGATAGGGTTGGTGCTATGTGAACTCCACCCGACAGTCATGAAGAGTGGGATGGTGCTGTGTGAACGCCATTCGGCCATACCTCCGGTAAGATGAGGCCATGACGTTTAGTAGGAAACAACAGAAAGTGTGAGGAAAGAATTAAGAATAATACATACGGGGATAGACAGATAAAGGGTTTTACTTACTGAGCATTATTTTGTGCTCACCCCGTTATTTTCCTTTGTGGATGCAGGATCTAGGTGATGATGCAGTCGGAGGGGCGTCGGCAAGCGAGGAGCAATAGCTATACTGTTTCCCTGTTTTTGTCTTTTAAAATGGATTTTTGTAAATGATGCGCTTTGTGTATAAAAGACGTATTACTTTTAATAAAAAAAGAAAAGTTTTGGGCCCATTTTCTATTGTTATTATGCATGCGTTGTACTAGATTTCAGCAGTTGTCACAGTAGGGTATTATAGGAAGTTTGTGGAAGGCTTTGCAAAGATAGCCAGACCACTTACAGCTCTTACCAAGAAAGAAGTACCATTTCAATGGATAGAGGCATGCGAGCAAAGCTTTCAAGAGTTGAAGAAAAGATTAACTACAGCTCCAATTCTTACATTGCCAGAAGTAGGCATTGATTATGATATTTACGTTGATGCCTCCCACAATGGTTTGGGAGCAGTGTTGATGCAGCACAGGAAAGTCATTGCTTATGCCTCCAGACAACTGAAAGACTATGAGAGCAAATATCCTACCCATGACTTGGAATTAGCAGCAGTGGTTTTTGCTCTGAAGATATGGCGACACTACTTGAATGGAGTGAAATGCAACATATACACTGACCATAAGAGTTTAAAGTATTTTCACTCAAAAAGAGTTAAATATGAGACAGAGGAGATGGTTAGAATTGGTGACAGACTATGACTGCAACATCAAATATCATCCAGGGAAAGCTAATGTAGTAGCAGATGCCCTTAGTAGAAAAGTCTCTTTATCTCAGATTACTGTACAAGGACAATTACAGTAGGAGATCCTCCAAGAAGGAATTGAAATTGTGATCAAAAGAGGATTGGCCCAAATGGAGGTCAAACCCAATTTGGTGGAGGAGATCAAGATGAAACAAGGTAAAGATGATACTTGCAAGGTGATCTGCCAACGGATAATAGAAGGTAAAGAGACAGACTTTAAAATAGTTAATGGGTCACTAATGTTTAGAGATAGAATATATGTACCTCAAGATGATGAACTAAGGAATAAAATCCTTATTTAATACACTTTATACAGCCCACCCTGGGAGTGTAAAGATGTATCAAGATGTGAAGAAAAGCTATTGGTGGTCAGGTATGAAAAACGATATTGTCGATTATGTTGCCAGATGTTTAACATGTCAACAAGTAAAGGCAGAGCATCAAAGACCATCAGGATTACTCCAACCTTTAGAGATTCTTAGATGGAAATGGGAGGATATCTCAATGGACTTCATTGTGGGACTTCCTAAAGTTCAGCAAGGATATAATGCAATATGGGTGGTGGTTGATAGATTGACTAAGACAGCTCATTTTCTACCTATGACAGATAAGATAGATGCATTTCGATTGGGGCAATTATATGTCAGAGAGATTGTGAGATTACATGGAGTACCCAAGACGATTGTATCAGATAGAGATACCAGGTTCAT